AAAGTTTTTAAATTATTTTTAAATGCAGGTTGGAGATAAATTTCTCTTTAAAATTCAGAAAACTCCTGCCAAATGGGATTGACTTCATAGGTCTGTATACAGATACCTTATAAAACTAGTATACAAACTCTTAATAAAATAATAAATAAATGTTAAACTATATAAATATTAAATTCCTCATAAAATATCAAATTCCTAAATATTGATAATAATTCTTTAATAAAACTTCCAAACCATTATATCAACTTTTATATTTTTCAATAAAAATGACTAGACATGACAATATTTTGTAGTTTAAAAAAAAAAACATGTATCTATTATACACACAATATGCCTCTCTTATACATACATATATATATATATATATATTATATATATATATATATATATATATATATATATATATATATATATATACTATATATATATATATATATATATATATATATATATATATATATATATATATATATATATATATATATGTATATACATATATATATATATATATATATATATATATGTATATATATATATATATGTATATATATATATATACATATATATATATATATATATATATATATATATATATATATATATATATATATATATATAATATATATATATATATATATATATATATATATATATATATATATATATATATATATATATATGTATATATACATATATATATATATATATATATATATATATATATATATATATATATATATATATATATATATATATATATGTATATATATATATATATATATATATGTATATATATATATATATATATATCAAAGTGATAATTTTTAAAAAAATTAAAAAATTTATTCTCTTAACTAACTTAATTTAGTTTGACTTATTATGTTTGATTAATTTTGATAATATTTTATAAATGTGAATCGTCTTAAAACTAAGTACTATTTCCAACTAAGAAATAAATATTTAAAAAAGTTTAGTACTTTATTAAAATCGTTAACTTAAACAAAATAAAGCATTGACAAAAATAAGCTGAATAAATCAAATTTACCCTGAGACTTATGTACTTTAAATACATTTTGATATAAAATCTAAGTTTTAAATTCGTCGCAATAAAATAGACTATAAAATATAACTTTATTAAAAAAAATTTTATACCATATGCATGGATTCTATCGAGTTTTTCTTGCCTTTCCATTACGGCAAATTATTTTTGTAATGGCTAGTTATTGAGACAATAATTTTCAATGTGCCACTTCCTCAACATTGTCAAAACAACGTTTTATTAACGTTGGCAAAGTAACACTTTTTCAACGTTTTTTAATTGCCACATTTTCAACCAACGTTGAAATAACGTTGAATAAGTGTTGTTTTTCAAATAGTTTAAATTCGTTGAAAAAACAGCTAATGTCTAACGTTGATAAACCATTATCTTTGCGACGTTTTTACAGTGATTATTTGCGTACTTAATTTCAACGTTTAATAAACGCATTTTTTTGAGAAGATAAGATACGTTTAAATTTATACGCTTATTCAACGTTGAAAATGTAACGTTTAAAAAGCGGTTTGTTTTTAACGTTGATAAAGAATCTACTTCGAAACGTTTTTAAAGTGGCTTTTTGCGTAAGTTGATTCCACGTTGAATAAACGTTTTATTTTGAGAGGCTAAATTACGTTACAATTTCAACGCTTATTCAACGTTTCAATTTACCGGGATTTAGTATACAAAAACAGACATTGATTCAACGTTGAAAGCACGTTGTTTTTTTGACTGTAACGCTTTTTCTAACGCTGCGATTGGTTTTCAACGTTGATTCAACGCTTACATTGGCCGAACTTATTTACAAATAAATCAGCAGATGAAAGCTTTGAATTATTTAAAAACATTTACATTTCATTGGTTGAACATCACATTCCCAAATATAATATGTCTTTTAATTTTAAAAAACGTGATCCAATGGTTTAATTCTACTATTAAAGCGGCAACTAATGAAAAATTTAGACTATTTATGAAATTACGCTGTTCTTCAAGCAAATTTAAAGATAGTATTCGAGTATTATACAACAAACAAAATCGTCTGGTGAAAAAGCTTGTTGCTGATGCTGTACTAAAGTATGAGAGTGAAGTCATTTCCGCTTGTAAGTCCTGTCCAAAAAAGTTTTATTCTTATATAAACAGCCAAAAGGTTTGTAAAAGTGAAATTCGATCTCTTTTTGACCACGATGGAGTGCAATTAGTAGATAATATGTCTATTGCAAATTGCTTAAACAATCACTTTTTTAAAGCTTTTTCATTACCTGAAACTCACTCCAAAGCTCCTGATTTTCCTCGAAGAACCGAAATAGTTTGCTCACCAGTTTCTAGCTCCTTGTTCAATTGCTGCAATATTGAAAAACTTTTATCTGCTCTTGACTCTTCAAAAGGCACTGGTAATGATGGAATCCATCCTAGAGTGCTAAAAATGTGCTCTAAAGAATTCAGTGTGCCTCTCTCTCGCCTGTTTATCAAAACCTTTGATTCTGGACAAGTACCGTCTGGTTGGAAACTGGCTAATATAACGCCAATATTTAAAAAGGGTCAGCGTACTGATCCTGGAAATTACAGGCCTATTTCCTTCACCTCAGCAATTGGAAAAGTAATGGAGAAAATAATGCGTGATGTCATGACTGAACACCTAGTTAAGCATAATCTATTATCTTGCCATCAACACGGTTTTGTCAAATCTAGATCATGTGTCACAAATCTTCTTGAAGTAATGGATATTATTACCAAAGCTTTAAGTGAAAACTGTGCTGCAATGCTCATTTTGTTAGATTTTGCCAAAGCTTTTGATCGTGTATCACATCTTCTGCTTTATCACAAACTGGCTGGCTATGGTTTTGGCAAAAATATTCTTGCTTGGCTCAAAGACTTTCTTGAAAATAGGAAACAGTGGGTTGTTCTAGGAAATTTCTCTTCTGAATGGAAGGATGTCCATAGTGGTGTACCTCAAGGATCAGTCATAGGTCCTCTTCTTTTTTTGATCTTTATTAACGACATGCCAGAATTAGTCAAAAATAATTGCAAACTCTTTGCTGATGATAGCCAGTTGGTTGCCAAAATAAAAGCAGTTACGGACTTGGCTTTAGTTCAAAATGATATTGATATGATATGTAATTGGTCAAGACTTTGGTGCATGGAACTTAGCATAAATAAATGCAAGGTTCTAAAGTTCCGTGGTGGTTCCACAGACATCAATATCCCCTTGACAATGTTAGATAAAAATGGCAGTCAAATTCCTATTGAAGATGTATCCGTTGAAAGAACATTGGGTGTTCTGATACATAATAAACTGAAATGGTCAGATCAGATTAGTGATGCCACTCTCAAAGCTAATTCTATACTTGGGATACTCAAAAGAACTTTTAAAAAATGGAATCCAACTATGTTCGTGAAGCTCTATACAGCATATGTAAAACCGATATTGGAGTACTGTACACCAATTTGGTGCCCTTTTCTTCTAAAGGACATTAAAAAGTTAGAGTCGGTCCAACAAAGAGCTACCAAACTCGTTCCACAATTTCGCAGCTTGAATTACAAGAAACGATTAGCATATCTTGGTCTCAGCTCATTAGCTGAACGTTGAACAAGAGGAGATGTAATTCAATTTTTTAAAATATATAAAAAATTAAATATTGTTAACTGGCAACAGCAGATTAACAGAGCAAGTGCACTTCTATGGGATGGTCCTGCAGGTCATCTTCGTAGTGCCAAGCATAAAATTGATCGAGAATTATCGAAAAACTCTCAAAGTGGTGTCATCATGGAACGCTTTGCCTGCTTCGGTAGTTGCTGCAAATTCAGTTGATCGTTTCAAAAACAATTATGACAAATGGAATCGTTCTATCTCACGTCGGTCTACTATAGTCGGGTCTCGTTAGACACTCGGCTCATAGAAGTCAAACTTCTATTGTAGAAATACTATAATAATAATAATAATAATAATATATATATATATATATATATATATATATATATATATATATATATATATATATATATATATATATATATATATATTATATATATATATATATATATATATATATATATATATATATATATATATATATATATGTATATATATATAAATGTATATATATATATTATATATATATATATATATATATATATATATATATATATATATATATATATATATATATATATATATATATATATATGTATATATATATATGTATACATATATATATATATATATATATGAATATATATATATATATATATATATATATATATATATATATATATATATATATATATATATATATATATATATATATATATATATATATTATTGTTATTATTATTATATAATATGTTATAATAATTATAGGGTTTTTATTTGTCAATATAGGAGTACCAACAATATTGCAATATTTTTTTGTAAAAAATAAAGGTTTAGTAAACTGAGAATAACAGAAATTTACATCATACAAGAC